CTCCAGTGTGACAGGGTTTTCAGCTGTTCCTTGGACCATAACCCTAGGAAGCCTGGCTATGTTTTAGGACTGTAGTTCTGGCCAGGACACGCCCTGGGAGCAGCTATTATGTGCAGAGCCAAGGGACTTAAACAGAGAAGGTAAGAAGAGGCAACTTGGGTGTGCCACCCAGCTTGTCTGTGTGCTCCTTAAACTTTCTCACCTGTAAAGTAGGAATACACTTTTGTAAGGAGAATTAAATTTGTAAGGAGATAATGCATGTGAAACACTTTTTAAGCTGCAGAGCACAACACAGATATAGGTGGTGTCTTATATTCCCAGGGCCAAAATCAGAGCCTGGCAGGTGGGACACTCCTGACTGTAGCAACTTGACTTTAGTCTAGAAGGAGCTGACCCTGACAGGCACTTTCAAGTTCTGGGTAATCTCATGGCCTAGGCCGATCTGATATACTAGTGGGCTGTCATTCAAAGTTGGTCCTGGGTCAGACCGGGCTCTTTGGGAATAAAGGTAAAGGCTTTGGAATCATCTCGGCCTTGGCGGTAGGGAAGGCTGTTTGGGTTGAGCACCTTCGTAGTCAGCCTGCTGTTACACTGGGTGATTTATTGTCTCCAGCAGCTGGTTTTGCTCCAGATAACACACTACCTCATTCTTAAGGTATCAAAGCCTGGACAGGAGCAGATGCCAAAAATATATACTATATAGTTGTCCCAGAACCCTTCTAAGGTATCTTCCCTTGTTACTAACCTTTTGTTGTTATAATAGACTTTAATTTTTAGAGTAATTTTAGGTCCACAGCAGAACTGAGCAGAAAGTACAGAGATTTCCTATATATTCTGTTCACTCTCTTCAATATCCACATTCTGCCCCAGAGTGGTACATGATGTTATAATCAATGAACCTACACTGACACATCATAATTACTCAAAGTCCATAGTTTACCTCAGGGTTCACTCGTGTTTTCTACATCCTGCGGGTCTAGACAGATGTAAAATAACCGGTATCTATCACTACAGTATCATACTGAGTATTTTCACTTTCTAAAAAACCTTCTGTCCTCCTTCCCTCCCCCTAACCCCTGGGACCACTGTCTCCATGGTTTTGTCTTGTCCAGGATGTCAAACAGTTGGACCTCCTTCGTGTTTTAATGCAGTGGCACTATCTAATATTTTGTTATATTTCTACCTGCCAGGATAATTGTTAAAAGTCAATTTCCTTGAAACGACCCTATCACAGTGAACAAATCACAGTGAACAAATCAAGTGAAGAAATTGAGAAAAAGAAATAAAGTTAAAGTGCTTGAGACCCTTAAGAGAACAGAAATAAGGGCAATTAGAGGATTTCTTTGAAACATGGCTGCCTTTCTCCTGGCACACAGTTGGAAGCAACTCATACTCGAGTACATCTGATAGCCTAAGAAATGCCATGATGTGTGCTTCATCTTCTTGTGATACCAATCCAGCAGAGATTAGGGATAATCGTTTAAGTGATAATTTGAGTTTGGGAATTAACTAGGGAAGTCAGAAGACAGCCTGATCACCCTTTTTGTTTCTAAAATGGACTACATGGGTTTAATGTGTTACAATATTTATTTGGTTTATTTATTCACTTCCCCTTCAAAATGTCCTTCTAGGATATTAATATTAAAGTCAGTGTCCAGTCTTGTCATTGCCAATGTATATCCGGAGCTCCCTCTCTCCCACCACCCCAAAATAACTTTATATCTTAGTTAATACTTTATTAACAAGCACCTGTGGCTTTCTTCCAGGGGCTGTTTAACATTTTCCTCTTGAATTTTGTGCTTCCCATCCTGCCAAAAGAAAACAGCCCAATTTATTAATTATTCAGAATGCTAAACAATGATGATGTTGCAGACACTTCTTTCCTTTAGCTTGGGTATAAAAGCTAAGCAGCGTTCTTTAGGGAAGGAATTAAACGTTCAAGGTGTTTTCCCTCATTCTTTGCTCCAAGTCGTTTCTTAACAGATTATTCTGATAGAATTTGCAAATGATTTTCAGAGTAGATATTTTCTATAATTCTTGAGATTCAAATGAAAACTCAGAATGTATACTCTTTATTTACTTGCAAAGTAGGCCCAAGGTGTCAGTTACTTCTCAGAAGAAAAAGGAAAGTAGTAGATATATAGATATATACTCCCTCCTGCCGGCTGAGCTCTAGAAAATGGGTAACACCAAGCAGGGCCCCATCCAGCAGACTGTGTGATCCTCTGGCCACTCAATGCCACAACGACTTCTATACCTACACAGCTGAAGGACTTTTCTTCTCTGAAGGACCAGTGTCAAGTTCCAAAGTGCATTTCCTACCCACAGATTTTAGAGACACATTCTTTCTGTGGCACACATACTGCATCCTGCCTTGAAGTGTTGCCTATCAGCCTCCAAAAGTACAATGCATGTTCTGAGACCACTTGAGTATGAAGGAAGGGAGGTCACTGCAATATCTACCCTGTAGGAAACCCTACTGCAGGGCAACTCAAGACTGAGAAACCCAAGGCCTCCCTGGAAAAACAGGATAAGATAGGCCAAGATTTTAGTAAATCTCTGTAAGCCCTTACGAGTACATTTGATGGTTGCTAAACTAAAAAATAAAGACAGCAGGCTACACAGTGGTACTGTGCACACTGCAAATTAGTGGCAATGACTACTAATACATTTCCATTTATCATTCTTTTCTACCCTACAGCAAATTAGCAGCACACTCTAGAAATTTTAAATAAGTAGCTTATAAAATTTGTTCTGCTTTGTTATATATAAATGTATAAAGAAGGTAATTTGTTCCCTATATTTGTCTTTAACAGAAAAGTATTTCATGCTTTTCTAATTTTATTTTTTGAAGAGACTGGATCTTATTTTCAGGGTCCCAGAGACGATCTTACCCAACTTTAGCTCCCTCCATGCTACAGGTGCTGGAGGTCTCTGTCCTGAGACTCTTCTGTAGAAACTTCTACTTCTGCTCGTTACACCAATCTACACATCACTTTCCCTTCCCCAACCCTAGTTCAGTCTTTTTCTGGTATTCCCAAAAAGAAGTGCCTCGAGTGTGCTAAAGCTAAAACCCTTAAGATTTTGAAAGAGGCCTACAGAAGCAAATCCACAGTTAAGACAATTCTGTTAAAGGAGATTTGGGGTTGGGGAGGGATTGTTATACCGTATTATTAAAAATATTAGCTCACAGAAGTCCACGAAACACTTATTTTTGTTAAGATACCAAAATAATCTTGACAGATTAAAAAGGACACTAGGGCAACTGGAAAGCATGGCTATTCTCCCCTCTTTTTCCAAGTGAAATCAAGTGAGAGCGTCTCAGAGGTAGACTCGGAATCAAGCTTCCATGTGTTCAGCCCAGCTCTGGCCTGCTAGCTGCATGCTCAAGGCCACAGCAGTTAGCAAGTGTCCATGAGAGGATGCTGCCCAGCCCATCAAGGTAGCCTCTGAATATTAAATAAATGCACAAGGGAGTAACAGTCATTACCGTTTGGGGTCCAGGCTTCTGGGAACCCCTCCTTGAGATGCTCCTGTTGCTCTGGAGCCTTCTCTGTCTTTCCTGTGTCAGTTCTAACTCGAGCTGGTTCCTGGGGCCGGTGGCAGAGGGAAAGGATAAATGGTGGGTTCTGCTCGCATTCTCCAACGCGGACACCACGCCCTTCCTTCAAGCCCGCGCTTCAACTCCCACACCTCTTTAATAGAAAGCTGCCACACACACGCACAGCAAGGCTTCAAAGTACTAAAATACAATAGAATACAGGCAGTAACACTAAAACACAGACAACACGTTCAGTCTTTCTTAGACAAGGACTGTACTTTAGGATCTCCCAGTGTCTGAGGGTCGCCACTCTGAACGTCAGTATTTCATGTGAACTCCTAAGAGCTGTGCTCAACCAAATGACAATTAGTAGGACTTACTATAACTGACAGAATTTGTAAATTTTCAGCAAGATTCAGTATGAAAGCACCGACACGGAGTCCCATTTTGTGTGAATCAACTGTCTCTCTCTACAGCTATAGCATTCAATCCCCAGCTACACCTTCACCACCGGTGTCGATAGCAGCCATGTGCTTTTATATCCAACACCCAAGTTCTATTTGTTTGAAGTCAGTAGCTTTAGCACAGATTCCAGTCTCATTTGAGAGATAATATGGAGGAGTGGGTTAAGGGCTTGGAGTCAGTGAGAGGCAGGTTTTAAAATTAGAACGTTGTACTTACTAGCTTAATTGTTTAAATCTGGACAAATTTAACCCCCGTTTTAATTTCACCTGAAAGTGGGGGTAATAAGATCACCTACTAATAGGGCTAATGGGAAGATGTTAGGAGAGAATGCATGTGAAGTGTTTAGTAAAGTATTTGGCACACAGTAAGAATTCAGAAAATAGTTATTATTAGTGTTATGTTGGCTATTAATTCTCTTACTGTTTCCCATATACCTGGGGCCTTGGGTTGTTAACTTCCTAATTATTTGATCACAAAGGATGTCAACAAGATTTTGGGAATGGTAAGGTATGTGAAGCTTTCTGAATTCTAATGTCAGAGAAAGGGCACTGCAAAGACAGATGGAGACGGCTGGATCATCAGGCCCCTTCTCCTGCTGTCCAGCCTTAGAATTACCCACGACCACCCTGTCGGCTCCAGCGCCCTCTCGTCACCGCTGCCTGGTGAGCTCCTCCACTTCCAGCTGCAGGCTGTTGATCTTGTCTCCGAAGTCCTGCTTGAAGAGCCGGTTGTCCAGTTCAGCAGACTGGCGGCCTCGCTCGGCCTGGCGCAATCTGGATGTGAGCCATATGAACTTGTGATAAAAAACAAAAGCCATGGTGGGGAGGAAGACCAAGTTCACAACACAAAACAACCCAAGGAAGAAGGCATGGAGGAACAGAGAGAGAACAAAAAACTCTGCAAGACACAGGGGAAGAAATTATGGGGGGAAAAGATGGAGGAGAAACAAATTCTAAAGAGAAGCCAGATGAAGGTGAACCAGGCAGAAGAAAAGTGATTTTCCAATTTTTTTATTCTAGTACTACAGTTTACAGCCATTAGAGGGTAAACAACAAAACACCACTTTTTAGAAAATCCATATCCAAAGCCAACCTCAAGCACACAGTAATTAAAGTTAAATCCATTTTTTTTGTTTTGTTTTTATTTCCTAATTGGTTTGGTACTTTATATTCTGCTTTATACACATAACTAGGACTTTCAAATGGGCAACTACCTTCTTATATATGGAACTGGAACATTTTCCTGGTCCTTCCCCAAAGCCCCAAATTGTACTAAATCATTGTACATTGTACATCAACCCTTCCCCAGGCTTTGGGTTATTATATAAGGAGAAGCCTTTGTCAGAATTAGGCCGTCTCTTTCCTGTTCTCTTCCTGCCAAGTGGTATATAAGTGGACAAGCAATTCAGCCCTGGCCCTGCACAGAATTCCTGACTATATTCTCTGGAAGATTCTAATGAGTGTTTTCTTCCATGAATCCTGTAACTTTGCACCTAAAAGAAGCATGTTCTAAGAGGTGAAACATTCAGGGCTCTAGATAATAGAATCGGAGGCATGCTATGTGTAGTTTTTAAAATGTTTTATTTTGGTGTTTGAGCACCCCTTCCAAATGATCATGGAAAAGGTAATTCACCACAAAACGTTAAAGATAAAAATAGGTGCAAAATTATAAGAAGTAAAATAAGTTGAAGAGCACAGGATCTTCCATGAGGTTGGCCATGTGCTCTTTGACCTGACTTTGGTTCAAGTCTGCAAGGACCTGTGAAAGCATACGTGAGATCTAGCGTACTCTCTTGAGTCTGGTTTTTCCAGAAAGGTACAGAATTTCAGGAACAGGAAGCAAAAGGGTTATTTTTGTCCCAACCTGAGCAGCTGAAATGCTGCAAATAACAGAATGAAAAAAGAGAAAAGAAATTTGCCATGACTTTTTGAACGGATGAAGGCTTATTAAAGCCTGTCCCCCAAAATCAAAAGTCATTTTTAAAAAATCACTTTATTTATAGGATTATTTACAATGTAGAGCCTAGAAAGGGTTAAATTTGTGGCCACTTAAAGAAACCCTACTGATTATTATTTGTGGATATCTATTGGGAACTTTTTAGACTAAATTAAAAAAAAAATGTTTTTATCATTTACCTACTTCATACTCTGGAGTGGTTTCTCCTAATAATTAGATTGTTAGTTTCCTAGAAACTTGAACAAATCCCCATCTAAATAAAAAGGAACAAAAACTCTTAAGAGAATGTTGCTAGCAAGGAGTGAAAGGCAGGAGACCACCACTCATGTCAGTACCTTGTCATCTCTACTCCAAAAGGAAAAGCAGGATGGGTTTAAAATGTGTGTAGTGTATTTTTTTTAATGGGAGAGTAGTGTTTTTATTAAAACTGTTCTCTCTGAACTACCTAAATAGGAAGCGGAATTGCAGGAAAATGGCAGAGGTAGAAGATGACAAGTATTAGGAGAGCTTTCCCAAGCTTCCACAGTATTATGTTATTATAGTCATCTAATTGCTAACTTTATCTCTATGTACTTTAAAGAAATGTAAGGATGCTGTTTATCCCACCCTCAAAGTCACTAAGGCAAAGAAATTGCAAGCAGGCTTGGTTACTGAGAACTGTAGTGAAATACTAAGTACTTATCCAGGCTTGGGGCTTAAACCTATATAACAGAAGTGAAAAGGGTCATGGCCTAAGAGACACAGAACTACTTTAGGAGAGTCCAAGTCCATATGGTAGTCACCTCCAGTTCATTACATCGAAGTGGCAGAACAGGCTCGCTGGTGCAGACAATGTACCTAGAATCTGATGTTGTCAGGGACTGGGTTGTAAAGGCATCAGTAATATATGTATAAAGCTTCAATTCCCTAGGCTTCTTTTTAAAATGGAGTATTTATTTATTGGTCAACTCAGAAGTAATTTCTCAAAGTTTATTTGGCATTTAATTAAGAACTTATACTAATATTTTCTAACTCTGGGGAGAAAATAAAGAAGAGAAAACACAGCCTATATATCAAATTGTTGTGTTTTTTTTTTTAAAAAGTCCAACAAATTCAAAGTCAGTTTTTGGTGGTGTTTTATATAAATCAGAGCCTAAATGTAATAGCTTCCAGATTTTTTCCTTTTATAATTAAGTTGTGATGTCAGACTTGCGAGGTGACCAACTACAAAATGCCTACTGATGTTTGGGGATCAATTTATTTGCTGCACTATTTAAGGTCTTTGCCTGTTTCACCAAATCCTTTTCACTAAATTAATAAAATAAAAATAAGAATGGAGTGAAAGGGGAATGAGAACAGGAATGAACAGGAAAGAGAAAAATAGCAAGAGAGTAAGTCAGCTTAATACTTGGAAAGAGATCATTATTTTAATTCTGTCTGCTTTAAATGTCAAGTAAAAAAACCACTGAAAAATAATTTTATACATTTCAGATACATAATTCGCAAACACTAAAATTGATTTGTTGAATCCTAAACATATAATTGCTTATGAGCAAGCACTTAGATAACTTCCTGGATAGACTGATACCTTTTATTTAAAATCAGCCAAAGCAGAGATTTCAAGCTTATTTATTAACTTGCAAATAACTTTCGAGTTAACATTAATATTCAGGGCCATTTGGGACCCTCCCTGGTCAAGAATCATCTGAATAAAAGGTGTCATCCATTCACCCATCCATCCATGCATCCATGCATCTGCATCCATCCATGCATCTGCATCCATTCATGGATCTACCTTGTAAATTAAGGCACTGTGACAGATCCAATGAGGGAGCACTCTCATCAGAAGATACAATACATATATAAAGGGTACAAGGTGAGGCAGAAATGAGAAGAGCTATAAGCAGCAGTACGGGTAGGTATGGATATAAAGCCCTGGGAATCCCAACAAGGGTGGACTTGGCAGATTATTTTTAGCTGGAAAGAAGTATCAGAGGGAGCATTGGGCAGGTAGCATTTGAGCCTGAATGTAAAAAATGTATCTGAAGCGAAGAAGTGGGGAGAAGAAGGGCATTTCTAATCGGTGGAATGATTAGGAAAGAGATGGATGGGAAAAATGGGAAGTATGTTGTCCAGGAACCAGTAGGCAGTTCAGTTTTGCTCAAGTGCAAAAAGGGTGATCAATGGGTGTAAAGGTGGTGATGCTGAGTGACTGCGGTGGCTGCTGTGGCTCATTTGAGCTTGAAGTCTCAGCAACTTCTCCTGGAACCAGGAAGAAAACGATGTTTTCAGACCAAAAGAGAAAACAGGACAGTGGCACAGGGAGAGGTCGTGCCCTGCGAGTGGAGGGTGCTGGCAGGAAGCAGCTGGTTGGAGGGTGAGAAGGCAGGACTAGCCTCAGCTGGAGGACAGGGCTGCGCACAGACAAAGGTAAGAGTCTGGTGGTGGTGGGGTGCCAGTGGAAGCTAGAGAGCCGTCCAAGGGGGAAGAGAGAAAGGGGTTCAGTCATTAGAGGGCTCAGTGCCCCTACATCGACTTGCACCAAAGTACTCAAAGACTTTAGTGAGGAACAAAAAAAATAACAATCACAAACAAACTGAAAGTCCTTTCATCCTTGCTAAGGGTCCCTCTCCTAATTCGAGACACTGAAATGGGATTAAGTGGGAGGGTACAGTTCTGCTGTTCAAAGACATCCCGAACGGCTGACATTTCTTAAAAAAGTTTTCAGTGCCATCTTAGAAAACACAAATTTTTACTGGCTTTCTCTCTGCAGCAAGCCTGACACTAAGCTGGGAGAATTTCACATGCTCTCTGTTTGCCAGTGCACAGGACGGTCCCTTCCCTCCCCGCACTGCAGGCTCAAAGTGTAACTAAAGAAATATCACTTTACCTTTGTTCAAGCTGTTTAATGGTGGCAGCCATCTGATTGGTCTTCTCTTCCAAGCGACTGTTTAGTTCACTTTTCTGTTTTACTCCTAAGTCTGAACTCTGTTATGGAAAAGAATTATGAAGGATGTATATGTAACATAAAATCCTGAAATAAACCACACATGCCTTTTGAACCTAACGGTAAGTGGGAAATAGAGAAATAGAAACGCTCATGTATTTGGGAATCAGTTAATTCCCAAGTGTAGGAAAAACAAAAAGCAACGTTTAAAATTAATATTGTTATATGCAGCTTTGTCACAAAAGTCAACACCAGAAGGTACATCAATTTAGCGTATTCTAGGATAAAAGCTAATGGAATATATGACTCGGCTGGCAGGTTAGACTGCAGAGTAGAAATTATCTTACAATCTGAAAAAGGGCCATGGCGGGGGCCAGATTCCTAAAGTGGTTTACCGGCAGCCTCAACACGAGATGTGACTCTTTCTTCCTGCATGTAAAGTGTGATTCTAAATAAGAGGGGCAGGGGGAAGCACTGGGATTTTGGAGAGCAGTGAGCCTATTCCTCCTGTGTCCCCCACCTGCAGCTTAAAGGCAAGTTCATGCTTGAGGGCCCTGAGGTCATCCAGCTGCTGCCGCAGACACACCAGGGCGTCCTGCTTCTCACAGACATCCTTCTCCAGCATCTTCATGGCCAACTCCATCTCCTGTCTCATGCTGATCTGGATCTCCAGTTCCTTTTCCACATCCTGCCCCAAAGGTAAATGAAGTGCTTACTCTCTCTCCTCATCTAAGCGAAGACCAAAAAATTCCACAGGAAAAGGTACACCAAACTTTCAGGTCTGAGTATTCTGACAAAACAGCTATAAGCTCTCATTCAATGCAGAGACATTAACAAGAATAATTAGGATAATTACAATAACATTTTCTCAATAATTCACAAATCTGAAGAGCTCCACAGGCCAAAGGTAGTGCTATTTAATATGCCTAAAACACACACATACCTGAGGCACTTCATCAGATATTAAGACAGATAATGCATGTCATATACAAATATATATAAACTGTTATAGTAGCCAGCACAAAATGAAGCAGTTGCAGTCCTCTTCAATTTGGATGTTGTTGACATCTCAAGAGCCCAAGAAACCCCAAAGATACTTTGTGTCCCCAGGGTAACATTTCAATTACTGTGAATAGTCAATACCACTAGCTGAATTTTTATATTCACTTAACATGACCCCCTTTTTGTTCCAACCATTACTACTGCAACATTATCTGGATGATCGAAGCTGCAAACACCTGAGGTTCTTCTGCATTCAGGCTAACGCAGGGCACACCTAGGACCTTGCCTACTTGCTTGGTTTCTTTCCTTTTTTAACATTGATCTTATTGTGGTTCAAGGATGTGGTAAATTTTGTGTAAAGTTTCTGTCACATGCCGCTTAACTGAGGCACTCCTCTGCACGGCTAGCAGGACAGGAAAGGGATCAGACTGCTTCTTATAAAGCTGACCTATTATTGGCAGGAGTTTCCTTATGGAAAGTATTCTGAGATGATTCATAAACACATAGAAGGAAAATGACAACTATATCAAGGATGTCAAAACAATGTTGTTTTCTCAGAAAACTTGAAATTCTGTTCTATATACTATTAGTGTATATAATACGGTCACCCCTTAGTTTTAGTCTTTTCTGTATTGTCAGAGACGCTACTGGGGGGATCCTTTTGTCTGTCATACTATCTAAATTGCAGGGAAAGTTAATATACTAATACCATGAGTGTATTAATATACTAATACTTGGGTAAAACAGTTTGAGAATATTCCTTATTATACATTGTTATGTATATTTTTCATTTTAAAAATATTTGAAGGCTATAACACTAATGACACATTTTTCCATTTACGTATAAGAACAAGAATAAATGCAGAAATAACAGCTAAAAGTGAGAGTACGATTCTACATTAATGACTTTCAGGAACGAGCAGAGCTGCCCCCTCCAAGGAGACACATCAGAACCTTCGCAGGAGTGAGGATGAGGTGGGGAGGTGAGAGTGCATAGTTTAAAAAGTAGGTTCTATATTTCTAATGTTTTTGCAATGCAAACTATAAAAGTAAAAAAATAAAGATGGGCAAAATCCTGTGGCTGTTGAGAATACTCAATCTTGTCTGTGAGGTAAAAGCCCAAGCAGGCTGCTACTTTCTGACATGTGACTAAACTATCAAAGCATAAGCAGAGTTTACCAGTCGCAACTGTGTCTCCTCCTTTAAGTGCTTTCTTGCTTCGCTTAGTGCCTGCCCTTCCGAAGTTCTGTCTTGCTTAGAAGCCTTGAAAAGATAAACAAAACAGGGTATTTTTAAGGATTTAAAGAATCTATACAGTTAGCTAACACCAGCACTCCTATTTATTACGGAAAAACAATCATATCTAAGCAGGTATAACAATGAACAAAGACAACAGAGAAACTGAAGAGGTTTAGTAAAGTAAAATTCTTAAGCTGGACTGGGGATTTCTGGCCGTTTTGTTTAAAGTCTTTAGATAGTTTACCAAACCAAGCAGTAGAAGTCTTAAAAACCAGCCTCTAAATAGCATTCACTGTCAACCATGAATTGGGGCCAAAAATTCAAAAGGTAATATATTCCTTCTCGAGAGATACCTCATGTCTCCAATCATCCAGAGAGATCAGAGCTAAAAATAATCAGGTCATCAGAAAATTATTCTGAACAGTCAGTTGTCTTCACAAAGTCCATGCATTAAAGTTAAAAGTTACAGAAAACTACTTCGGTTCCCACTCAGAACCTAGTTAACTCTTTAGGGGCCATTTAAATAACTGGATGTTTGGATTCCCAAGTCACAGTAGGTTAGAGGCATGAGGATAAAAGGGATCAGGAAGACCTTTCTAGAGATAGCAATACCAATAGCAGTAAGAAGAGATGCCAACAAAATCATAAAAGGCAGAAAATAACACCCACAGCCACCTGGGAATATTTAAGCACAGGTGTTAGAATCTCTATTAACTTCCACAGCTCCCTAAAGCAGCAACCACTATAGTTTAGCACAGAGTTGCCAATGTTGATAGTTATAATTTTCAGTCATCAAAGAGCTAAATGTGTTACATTATATCCTCTGCTTAAGAAGGCTTAGAACTGTACAATATATAAAAAGGTTTGCAAAATATCTGTCTAGGTGGTAGCAGAGAAACACTTCTTACAAAGCAGTGAAATGGTCTAAAATAATGGAACATTTAATATAACAAATATAACACTTAAATACAGCAGAAGGAACTGAATTAGAAGGTTTCTTAAAGTCTCTACACAGATGTAGATGGTGGTGAAGCCAAGGAGCATCTGTAGAAGGGGCACCACCCCTCATGACCTTCAGTGTTCACCCGATTTTGCATGAAGTCTCAGTGAAAACAGTTTGGTTGATATATGCGAATACCTGCTGCTTCCACACAGTCCTCTAGAGGCTCCCCCACTAACACACTGACACTCTCTCTAGGAATATTTTATAAATCCAGTAAGATTAACCTTTCGATTGGATTCCAATATGTAGGAGCTTTCCTCTTTAACTCGTTCCATTTCTTCTTGCAAGGTAATAATCCTGTTGTTTGCAACTGCAAGCTGTTGATAAAATTAGAAAAATAATCTTTTATTAACACAAGATAGGGAAATTCATGACCTGCTAGGACATGATTTTCAGGCGTAGATATTCTTAGAAGGAAAGAAAGCTATTTATAACCCCATAAAAATGTCCTTACAGGGAATTTAGGAGAAATATTTTGAAAGTAGCTTAGATACAAATTTAAAATATCTCCTTTTGAAGTGCCTGGCTAGCTCAGTGGGTAGAGAATGAGACTCTTAAAATATCTCCTTTTGCTGCTCTTTGTGTAAACTTTTTTCCAGTGGCAAAATCTTAACTTAAGATCGTTTACCTTAAGGGTGTCCTCATGGGTAACTTATATTTAGTTACAATACCTATTTCTAAAACGTTTAAGAGGTCATCTTATGCCTTGGGACCCACCCTTTGAACCCTCCATAAGACTTTTTACAGATGATTTTTAAAAGTAAAGAAGTGAATTCCTAGGTTCTCACTCTGAAAGGTGCCATTAAGCACTGAAGAAGAGTTTTCATTTCAGCACCTAAAAGGATAAGGTAACGTTATCAGCAAAATACTGCTGAGGGGAAACGCTGATACCCTGTTCTGCAGGAGGGAGAAGTGGAAACACTTTTTCCTTTTCTGTACCTACTGGCCTTCATCCTTCCCAGAGAATGTGAATGAGGCTGGAATCGGAACTAACTAGACGCTGCTCAGCCAGGCTCCCTTTTTATCTCTTTACTAGCAGTGGGTGCAGGTTCTACTTGGTTCCTGCTCTAATGTGTGTGGACAGAGAAGTGAGGGCTCAGGTGTGCTTTCTAGAGGCAAGTCTCTAAGTCCACTTCTCCGTCTGCTCCATGGACCTGATGGAGTGTAAAGAAATAGTTCTGGTCTAGATCCAAGTGCACCCTCAGGCAGCTTCTTCCAAGGTCTCAGTATCAGAGAAAGTCTTAGGAAATGACTGTGGAACTAAATGGGCTTTCTAAGTCAGCTGTGCAACAACTGAGTGCATATTTATATACCTTTGTCTGCTTAATTCTTCTCATTTTGTTATGCTGGTTCAGGACTCAGGGTGGGAAAAGAGGTCTGTTTTTAAATTTTTAACACTCGTCCTCTTAAATCCAAAATAGATGGAAATGAGGAAAGGCAGGACTCTTTAGCCTTCTCTGCTCTTTATTAAGCCTACACACAATGCTTACCTATCTCTAAAAGCTCAAAGTTTCAAGAAAATAAATCTTATTGGTAAAATAAGTCAATGAATGAAGAAATTAGTATTTTTTAGTAAAGTAAACCTACGTCAGGAAGACAATCTTGTGACTGAGGGAATAAAATTAACAAGTATATTTATACTGAGTGCTTGTGGTGTGTCAGGCACTGGTCTAGGCCCTTAAGTCATTTAATTCGCACCAAAGTCTTATTGTTCTTATCATCCCATTTTACAGATAAACAAACCAAGGAACAGAGGCTTAAGTAACTGGCCCAGGATTAGAAAGCCAGAGTCAGGACATGAACCCAAGTAATCTAGCTCTAGAGAACACACTTAATTGCTGTGCCACATTGCCTCAATATAATAGCAGTAGAATCACAGCAAAAATTTCTGTGCAGCATATTTTGAAAGCCTTGTGGGATCAAATTCTAAGGGTCATATCCATAAATTAGTTTTAATATAATTTAAGAACTTATACTAAAAAATGAAGCCCACAGAACTGAGTAATAAGGAAGGTGTTTTTTTGTTTTTTTTAAAATTTATTGGGGTGACATTGGTTCACAAAACCATGTAGGTTTCAAGTGTACAACTCAACAAAACATCATCTGCACACTGCATCCCGAATAAGGAAGGTGTTTTAAAGTTGTAACAATGAAAACGTTTGTTGTAAGAAAAAAATGATTAAACAGCATTTCCTAGCTACTATTTTAACTTGGTTTTATTTAAACCAAATTTATCTCACTGTATGTAACAGAACAGTTAGAAATAGATAAGATAAAGTCTTTGCCACCTGGAAATCTTAATTTAAGGTTTTTAATAGAAACATCTAATGCCACTGATAAAAAAAACATATGCAGCTTAGGCTTTGGTAGGTTAGGAAAAAATATATTAATCAGAAGCGAAACATGAAGTGACTTTTCTCTGCTTATTTTAGGGACTTTTCTGAGAGTTTTCACATATGTATTCTCATCTGATCTTTAGAGTAATTGCGAGGCTGAAAGAGGAAGTGCAAACACCCTCACATCTGCCAGCCAGGGAACTGGGCCTTGGAAGTCAAGTGACTGACTTGCTCAGCAGCACATGACATATGGCACATCATGGAAGCAGGGACTGCTTGTCTTCTGACCAGTCCTCTTTATGTTATCTACCCACCACCTCAAGGAGGAGATCAGGCGTGTGAAGGTGGGGAGCTTGCCAACCTGGCACACATAAATCAATGCCCGCCTCATGCAAATCTTTGTCTAGCTCTAGCACACAGGTAGTACCTAAAATGTCTGTTGAATGAATACATGACGAATACCTTGCTACATGCTAAACATTAACTCTAAGCTAGCCCAGACAAAACAAAAGAAACCAAGATACCAGATCAGCCTAGGTTCTAGGCCTGCATAGTCCTACTGGACAACTGAGACCCCTGAGATAAGCCAGCTGACCATTCTTAGTCAGAACAAGGGGTTATGTCCTATGGGAGACATTACCTGAAAAGTCAAGTCCTTTATTTCCAAGGCTCCAGAGAAATTACCTCCCACTAACGCACATTACTAAATTCTGTAACTCAAGGATTTCCAAAACACTTACTTCCTCTGTCAGTTTAGTGTTGGATTTTTCTAATGCATCCACTTTTGCCTGAAGGTTGTTTACAGTAGCACTATCAAGAGAAGAGAAACAGTGGTTTCTTTGGAGAAACAGAACCATATCCTGTACTTTCCTTTTAACCTCCCACCAAACTTATCATTCATTGTAATGTCCACAATTTCTGACAGACTTGCAAGCTCTACAACAGCTTACAGGGGGATGTGTGTCTTAGCAGCTCCACTACTGGCACTAAAGTTTGTATTTAATAAGGATAGGCTAAATAAAGTAAAAGAGCAAATGCACTAGACAGTAAGCTTTAAGACTTACTTGCATTATTTCATTTACTCCTTTCAACAATCCTGTGTGTCAGATACCCCCAATTACAGATAAAGAAACTGAGGCATGAAAAGAGTAAATAAATAGTGTCATACTTATATTTCATGAGATACCACAGGAACTTAACTCCTGTTTGTATCAATTAGCCTATGGTAAAATTGGTTTCATTATACATCCTTTTGCTTAAAGTTTTGGAACCTATCAATGAAGTTAAATGAGGACTTAGTATGTCACATATTTAACAATCTTAACAATGTACTTATTTAATCACTAGAGGTATAATTACATACTAATCTTATTACTGTCTTTCACTAAAGGCCACCAAACTTTTAAATGCCATTTTTCCAGTGTCCAGCTAAGTGGCTGGCAAGCGGGAATTCTATATACATGTGTTGAGTGCTGTCTCGATTTACCCTCACCACTCATCAGTTTTTCCCTCCCTTCCCCTGCAATAAAACCCCCGGTATGTAATAAAGCTCATTCATTCTTTACTTCAGATGTCTGTTGAGTTCCTCTACATAGTTCTTCTGGTCCAGAATTGCAGTGATCTGGCCATCTCTGCGAGGGGGCGGAGGGGGGAAGAGGAGAGAGAAAGGAGAAATAAAATAAATTATATCAGAAACATCAAAATTCCCCTTCCCCCAATCTTTTCATAATACATAGAAAGAAAATTGTGGCATAGATACACTCAACCAGAAGACAGACTTGATGTATAACCCCCTTGACATCAACAAGAAAGACTTGAAGGTTAAAAAAAAAAAAAAAGATGCATGAAATCCCTATTAATAAAGCCCTTGTTATAGCTTACACACATCAACAATTTAGGCTGTAGATATGTTACAATCTATCAGAGGTATTTTAAGAACAAACACTTACTTCTCCCAACTGACAGATTTTTTTTAGCTTCACTAGTTTTATAACAATTTTCCATTTGTTGTAGGAAATGAAGTAAGCCTTCTCTGGTGTAATAATAGTTGTTCTCAAAGGATATGCATTTGCCTTTAAATGTCATTTGGGTTTCAGAATGAATGGTATAAAAGACTTTCATAAAGATCAAGTGTTTATTGTTACATGAAAAAATAAAGTGTGACAAAGGGAGGTTCACTTCTGGAACGAACTAATCTATAATAGGCAAAAACTAAATAGCCAGACTTTTCAATCGAAGACAAATTCAAGGCCACATACCTCTACAACTACTTAAAGAAACGCGTATAATCTTAGCTCAATGTCCAAGGTAGAAAACTTCAGACTACTTATGCTTCCAACCGCTAAATTTACAAAGGGCATAAGGTGTACTTTTGCTCTCCAATTTCTAAGTAGTATATGAACATTTTTAAAAGCTTTTATTTTGAAATAATTATAGATTTACAAGAGTTGTAAAAGTAGTGCAGTTCCATTTACTACCCCTTAATATTAACATTTTACATAGCCACACAATGCATATTTAATACTGTAAATTTTAAGCAAACTGAAAATGCAATCCTTCTGGTCAAGACAGACCGTGTTTTCAAACACTATTTGAAGAGATGAAGCATTGGGTTGCTCTTATAAAAATTTTAATTCTATTTTCCCTTGAACCACATAGCAGGAAAACCATTTTAACTAAAACCCCTTTTAGGGTTTAGCAGACAAAACAGTTTTGGCAAGATGCTATAAAGCTAAACCATTAGAAAGCCTTTCAGTAAGTCTGTTAAAAAGTGGTATTGTTGTAAACTTTAAATGCTATCAAAGAACATTAACTACGAAAGAAACCTAATTTTCTTTGTACATACCCTTCACTACCTTTACTGCTGTTCCCATCCTTGAGATACATGGAAAAGTCTATAACTCCAACCTACAGAGAGAATTTTCAGAATTTAATATAAAATTAAATTATTTTTCCAAGGTATAACATGTCTCCTTCCAGACACTCAAAACAGTTATGTAGTCATGACAATTACTAAACATTTTTAAGTAAAAATTTTAAAGTTTTACTTTTATTATAATCAAGAATTGACAAGGGCTGTAAGTAAAGAATCAAGATTTAGTCAGTAGGGCTAGAAGACCAGATCAGATTAAGAAGGTCTACAGAACACTTAATATAAGGTTTATAGTTTCTCTCTCTTTTGCTTATTTCAGGTATTCTGCTCCTGAACCTCTATGTTCACTTTTAGAAATACCTTTTAAAATTGTAATTACAATAATAATGTGCATACCCTTAGAGAAGTTTTAGAAAATACAGGTAAACAAGAGGAAGTAATGCAAAACACCCATAATCTCAATCACCTGAAGATCAGCACTGTGACGTTTTGGTATCTATTCTTCCACATTTTCATTTTTCAAGATTGCTGTTTTATCATTTAGAATTTTTAAGATTGCTGTTTTATCATTCAGCTTATTTCTTTTTTAAAATCCACATCAACATATCATACTTTCTTTTTAGTTTTCTCAGAGTAAAACATAACAGAAATTCACCGCAGTGTTTCATACAAAAGGGGTGAGAAACTGTCAGAGTGAAGGCAGCAGGTTTATTCATTGGACAATGTCTATGTGCCGGGCCCTGCTGTAAGTATATTACACGTACTGACTCCTTTTATTCCTCACAGAATCACTATGAGATAGACAGAGACAGTACTTCTTATTCCCATATTACAGATAAGGAATCTGAAGCATCAAGAAATTAAGTAACTACGAGACATACTTAGCTAGAAAAGGAAGAAGCTGGAACCTCCCCCTAAACAGCTTGGCTCCAGAGCCTTCACTCTTAACTACCAGGCTATACTGACTTTTAGTATTTAGCCTGTGTATATACGTTAGCCCGTATATGTATATTTTAGCCTGTGCAAAATATTTTTAACAGGGATCATTGTCAAGATAAGAAATGGAAAAACATTCAGAACACATCAATAAGCCAAGTTGAAAGGTAAACTAATTTTTTACATTCACATCAAAATGGAAGGAAATCCTAGTTATGACTTAAAGAATTTCCCCTAATTTGGTTGCTATAATCTGATCAATTGAAATTCTGAGAGAACAGCACTCAGAGCGACACGCTTGGTAAATGAGTATCCTTCTCATACCTGAGAGTCCAAGTCTTCCCCTTTCATACAGAAATTGGCATCAATGACGTTCAGACCCACCAAGAGACCAGCAATTATGGCTCCTTCTTCTTCCATCATGAGGGCATTTGCTTCATAGAATTCGCTGTAAGAGAGATCCATGGAATGCTACCTTGTAATAAACCTCAGCAACCAATGTGAAAACGAGACGAGGAAAGCGCTTGCCTCGCGGTTGAATATGGTCATCTGTGGTAACAGCAAAAATGTACAAAACACCCCAAAGAGATGGCTTGGATACTTTATTTAGAAGGGAGGTACATGAATAGACTCTAGATAATAAACAGTCCAGCTGAAAGAAAAGAGATCAGAATGGTATTGTTACACATGTCAACTTCCTGTCTTATCGAACCTGGGTGGATGCTCAGGTGTCAAAGCCTTTCCTATTTTCTGGAGGTGTCAGGTTTTGGACTGCCCTGCAAAGCCATATATATGCTTCAGTGACAGCACACGTCATGAAAACGCCTATTCCTGACTATGTGTGTGAGGTGTGCAAGAAGGCATTAGTTGAAATATGTGAAGCTGTTATTAATCAACTGTTTCTGATCAACAAAGATGATAAATTTATATAATCTGACTTCATATGATAGAGAATGTAGCAAGAAAAAAGCAAAGTTCAACAGGAAGATGTTCATACCTGAGAAGTTCCTTTTTATTGATCAAAGCTTTCATATATTCTGACAGTTTCTTTTGCATTAATGCCAATCGAAGCCAGGCTCTCCCTCTGCCTACTGGTGTCCTACAAAAACACAGAAACCAAAATAAGCAGCAGAAATAGGGGTCACAGTGGGACAGACTCACTTACTCTTGCTATTGGTCCTCTGGCAGAACGACAACACTGAGGTGCTCCCCACAGCCTCTGCTACCATATCCCATGTGAGGGATTCTGTGTGGGCCAGCGGGTATGTCTGGGACAAATGCTCTGGTGAAGAACTGATTACTGAATGAGACCACAATTCAAGGCAAGGCCTCTGGGAGGCTCAACTGAAAATGTTCCATCAGATTAATGTTAGTAAATCCTCATAAGTTTAGTGTGGGTCATATCAGTACCCAAATAATAATAATGCAGACAAGGGCCACTTAGGCCTCTATCTGATCAAAATTAAACCAATCTAATTTGGGAAGGTAATTAGTACTCTTTTTCAAGTTCTAAGGCAGGTTCTGGATGTCAGTTCCTGAGGTTCACTTGACAACTGTTTTAACCTTGGTTTTCAAACTCTATCAAACACATTCTTTTTCTTAAGTCCAGTATGCCACCTCCCTTGATCTAATTTCTTAAAATTCACTGATTCCCAAAGTGCTTTAAAAAAACAAGAAAATGTTTGGTATTTTAACATGAAGACAACCTCTCTCAAATTAATAATAATTACCCCTCACAGGCATACTTCTCTTAATAGTCTACATTTCAACAGTGCATTTTCATAAGAACAGTATGCATTTTGGATTGTTATGAAATAAATTATTATGATCATCACTGGGTCTCACTCTTCAAGGGGATAGTTAGTAGGAGTGTTTTCCCTGACAAACAGAATTCAACCTTAAACTTACTTAAGTCCTGGGAGGTCTTTAACACTTGCTGTTATCTCTGCAGCTTCTGGAACAAGCTTTTCTACCAGTTCTAGAGGCCCCCAGAAGGACTTATTTTGTCCAAGAAAAGTTTTCTTAGCTAAGGAGATAAAAACAAAGCAGTATTTTAATATTCTTTACAACATAAACATCCCTCAACATACACACGCACATATACCCTTCTCCCATCTATTAAATGCTCTCTTCTGGGAACCAATCCTAGATTACTAGTTATTTCTAAAATTATTCATGCTGTCAGAATCTGTAACATTTTATGAAAATAAAAAAATTCCTTACTTTCCAAGACTCAGTCCTTCCTCTTTCAGCAAGAACTTATGGACTAGCTCAGTAACAAAACATTTTAACAATATAGTACTTAAAGCTGTGAGGCACAGTGAAGAAAACAGTCCAGTAGGAAAGAATATATAGTCCAGAAACAGGCTATCAAATACTGGGAAGGAAGAAGGAAAAGCAGCAAAGGTGAACAAGACCAGGCCCTGCATTCAAGAGCTTATGGTTAAGTGGGAAGAGCATGGGAGCAGAGTCAGATCTGAGCGCTACTGTGTGCTCTGCCCACTTGCTGTGTGGCTGTGGGAAGGTCACAGCCCGTTCCAGGCCTATCTGCAACTTGTCAAACACAACTGCCAGACTGGACCAGACACCTGTAATGGTCCTTCCAGCTCTAGCATTTAATGATCTGTTTTCTAAGCCCTATAAGTCAAGTCAACCATATCCCTGCACTCATATACAGTGCATTTCAATGGACTGATATTAATTCAGGCCTCTTACTCTTTGGCTCCATAAAGAATGTTTTTTCTTCTTTAGCAGGTACTGTAAGGAGACAGTGGAATGCACATTTGCACTCTGAGGCCATGCCTACCTTTCAAGCCATGCTTCAGGCAGTGCTCCATCACCACGAAGAACTGCTGGAGAGGTGCGTAGTCAGAGTCCAGGGTTCTCCCCAGGTTCAGAGCAGATTCGATCAAGCCCTTGATACTCAGCTTGGCCATGTTCATCAGGTTCATGCGTTCGTTAGCCATGAGATAATTAGGGTCTGCAGCCAAAGGAGAAGATGATGCCTGGTTACTGGATATAGTGCATTTTAAAATTCAATATAATTTCACTGTCTTGACCTTAAATTGATGGTGCAAAAGAAATGGTGGGTAAACTGCTGTTGTCTTGGCAAGAATCAAGGCCAGGGCACCAAATTATACTATTAGTTGTTGTAGTCTCCTTTGCCATGTACTTGTTGTTAACAAAACAACAACAACAAAAAAGAAAAAAAGTCAGTTTCCCTTACGAATATCCTTGATGAAACAGTAAAAATTATTTGATCAAATTTTGAGCTTTGAGTACAGTCTTTTAATATTTTCGCCACTGCATCTGCCACCACCCCAGCCTGGGTGCCCATGGTAACACACTATTCCACAACCTTCACCTGGTCTGCTTCCATCCCACCGCCCGTATTCTCTACACAATTTGTGAAGTGCTTGAAAAATAAAACCGATGAGAAGAAAAGATAAGGCACTTAGTTTGTTACAAATGTACTATTTACATTATTAGTATTAACATTTATACTAATTATCATTATTTAAATTAAGCACTATTAAATAAATTAAAAATAATTAACATTAGTATAATGCAGTGCTAAAACTTAATCAATTTGCGAATTTTTTAAGACAGCACAGAGTGTGTGGCTCCCATCAACCAGACACACTATCTGAGGAAAGGGCTAGGTACCATATTTTATCCATCTAAACGCTCAGTGCCTTGATTTACTGGTGTGTATCCTGTATCAAGTACTGTGGGCTGCTTCTTGCAGTTATGATCTCAATCCTTCCTCACAACATTCTATGAGACAGGTACCAGCAGCACCAATTTGCAAGGAAGGAAAATCAGGCTTAGGGAGTCAAGTGGCTGGCCCCAGCACACAGCTAGTGACAGATGCTAGAGCCAGAGGTTAGGCCCTGTTTCTCCAACTCCAAACCCAGTGCTCATTCACGACCACTACACTCCGCTCACAACTGAATCAGTGGCTCCAAACAATGCTTATCCTCTCCTGCTGATCGTTCTTTTACATGATTATCTTATTTAATTCTTGTAACTCTATCATTTAAGTAGTATCCCTTCTTTTCAGGTGGTAAAGCAGGTCCTTAAGTGGTCCAAGACCAAAGTTCATAGGTGGCAGAATTCAGACCTGGATCTGACAAGAAAGTGAACGCCCTTTCCACTACGACACATCTTCCCAAACATCAAATATGACAAATTTCTATAAAAACTGAAAAAGGCGTAAAGATCTGTGAAACATTTTAACTCTTCTTAGGAAGACAAAAAATATTGATAAACCTATGTTCCCATAATACAAACAAGCCACAACATAAAACAGGGATTATTTTATTTAACTGTCCCAAGCAATTTTCTTCACAGTGTTTTCATGTATATCTGCTTTCACAGTTAAATGAGCAGGATCAAAGAGCCGAATTCTAAGCTAATCTTCTCCATTAAGTTTAAGGACTTACTGTAGGTTTACAGTTTCAATTATACAAATCGTGGTTTACTCTAGTGTTCTCTATGGTAATACAGAGAGTACTTTATTATGAATGTCAGAATTGGTTTATATTGCCATTAATTTTTTCTTGCACACCAACAAATATTTTAGGGCCATGCCTGAAATGTGGCTCTCTCTGTTCAGGGTAGGTCAAGTTGTCAAGACTAGAATAAGTCCATAAGGGACACAAAAGTATTTTTTTTTTTTAAAAAGAAGCTATGCCCTGAAAAACAGCCGTGAAGAACAAATTTGTAAGATATTAATTTCCAACTTTGTTACCAGCATTTATGGTAGTTTCTGACCTCCCATAATCAATGGGAGAAAGAAGCAGGGCAGGGGTGTGTGTGGGTACACATGAATGGTTGTGGACAGCTACTGGAGTCTCCATTTAACACCTCCCAGAGGTGGCAAGAAAATGTGGTTGCAGTTGGATAACTGGCTGCCCACAGGGAACCATTCCCTCTGCCTCAAGCCTGTAGACCATAAGTCAGGGAGCTAATAACAAACTTAAACAATGCTGCTACTCAAAGCACATAACCTGATTCCAACCTAGTTAAGAACCAGTCACGTGGGGAGAGCTGGATTTGGAGTATGTACGAAACATTGCACTTTAGGACTTTTTCCAGAAAAGAGTGATAATGTCAGCCCTTCTACATTGCCTCATCTCATTCTTTTTATAATCACAGCAGAACTGTTCACGTCTGGGGCACATAAACTACAGAAAGATGGAACTAGCACCTAGAGAAATTAAATTCCTAATATCTTGGACTCCATTAATATGGTGATAGACCCTATCTAAACTAAACTGAATCAAACACAATCTACCCATTCTTTAGAAAATATTACTCTCAACCTCGGTACTACTGATATTTTTGGCAATCAGTTTGGGGGAGGTGCTGTTCTGTGAATCCAGTTTATCAGCAACCCAGGCCTTTACCCACTAGATGTCAGTAACACCCTCCAATAATGACAATCAAAAATGTCTTCAGATCTCCAGATACTGCAGAATGTCTCCTGGGAGACAAAATCAGGTTCTCTCCACACTGAAACTACTGCTCTAAACAAATTTTGAAAAGTCAAACAAAAATCAGGGTAATTTGACAATTATACGTAAGAGTTCAAAAGAATTTACTGCTCATTATTTAATTAAAGCATAAGTTAAACTGATTATTTAATGCATATTATCAACATTTTTGTGTTGCATAGCATACAAGAGTAATGGCCATTACAAATAATTTTAATTATGTTTTCTGTTTAGTACTAAATTAAACTACTGAAAATAATCAGTACTTAAAAATTCTTTCTTTTTTATTTTGTAGTATTGGCTACTAGTAATTATGAATACTAAATCATTAATTTGATTTGTCACAGAATAAGAAATTCTCGATTCAATGAATTTGTTGTCTTGACTAAAGTATAAAATGACTGTGGAACTAATATATGCTGTTAAAAAGATGAGAGCATGAAGGGACTTCAGGAGGCTGGGAAAGTTGTTTTTTGATATGGATATTAGCTATGGGAAATTGTTGAGTGTGAAAAGTCATTGAGCTTACTTATGACATCTTTTCCATATATTTTATACTTTGAACTATAAAAAGTTAAATAAAGTTCTGTTATACTGTATTGGCCAGAAAATGATTCTTTTAAATGCATGACTTTCACAATATCATTAGTCATACTTTTTCTATGAGAAAAAAAAATGATTAAAATTTAATTTTTCACAATGCTAACATTTAAGACTATTAATCTCAAACTGAACTTTTGTTTGTTAATTCATTCATTCATTTTATTTTATTTTTAAAGTTTTTACTCATTTTTGAGAGACAGAGGAAGGGAGAGGGAGAGAGAAACATCAATCGGCTGCCTCCTGCATGCCCCTAGTGGGAATAGAGCCTCCAACCGAGGCATATGCCCTGTCCGGAACCGAACCAGCGACCTCTTAGTGCATCGGATGATGCTCAACCCAATGAGCCACACATTCATTCATTTTCTTTGGTCAATACTGAACATATACTGGATGTTAGATACTGTATTTAATGCTGGGAATCCAGAGATAAAAGACCTAGTACCTGACTTCGAAGTACTTACTATTTGTCAAACTTGGGTAATACAGAAGTCTGGAGAACAAAACAGGGAAGCTTACAGAGAATACCTGAAATTTCAGGGTAAACATTTTCATCTTTCACAAAGATCAATTTTATTCCGGGACAAGTAAATTAAAATGTTTTTTGTATTAGACCAAATATAATACCCACTGTATGGAATCAAATGTAAATTTTATACATTTAAAAAAAAAAATCTTTATTGATTTCAGAGAGAGGAAAGGAGAGGGAGAGAGAGAGATAGAAACATCAATGATGAGAGAGTCATTGATCAGCTGCAGCCTGCAACCTGGGCATGTGCCCTGACCGGGAATCGAACCCCGATTGCCTAGGATCCTAGGTCGATGCTCAACCGCTGAGCCACGCCCGGCCAGGCTTTATACATATTTTTAAGGCTAAGACAGTAGACATGATATTAATGTAGCATTTTAGGCAGCCTGTAAGTCCAATAGTTTCCTCTGCCACTGATGTACTTCTGTGGAAAAGTTTTGAGAAACACTGCAGACATACAGCAATAGGAACACTAACAAAAATATGAATAGGTCACTATGGGAATATGCACAGAAAAAAGCTACCTGACCTGGGCCCCTATTTTTTCATTCAGACTTAAGGGGCAGGTATGTAGATATAAATTCTCAGAGGATGAGGATTTTTTTTAAACTTATGTGTGTTCACTCTACAGAATTTTAAGGAAATTAAGAAGTATCCATTAACATGGTTATTAACATTGTACTAAGGGTGCCAGACCAATGTGATTAAAGATGAAGAAATTGGAGACATATAAACTGTAAGAGAGTGGATCAAATACTACTGCTCTCATACAATCTGATTTTACACCCAGAGAATCAGACAAAATAAACAAAACTTTCTACAAAAATATAATAATTCAGAGGTGGCAGAGCACAAAATTAGTATATAGAAATCACTAGGAGCTATATATTTGCTAATGGAGGATGAGACTTGTGAGTTCACTCTTAAAGGACAGAAATTAGTCAGGCAAGGAGGGGGGCAGCAGAAGAGCTGGGAAGGGAGGAGGCTGGAAGGAACAGCCTGGGTAAAGGCACAGACGTGTGAAGGAACACAGCATACTAAGAGACGTGAAACAACAAATGCCAGAGGTTTCTGACGCATGTAATGATGAGATAAGAGAAATAGATAAGGGAGAGGCTGCTAAGAGCCTAGTTTAAGGAGTGTGGATTTTACCTTAAAGCCAGTAAAGATTCTAATGTGAGGTATGATGTCACAGGTTTGATGCTAAGAGAAGCCATTCTAGCAGCCTCGGGGGAGATGAATTAGAAGGGTATGGGAACTCAAAACTGAGGCGCCAGGAAGGGTCCGCTGCAACAGCTGAGGAGCACCAGTAAGAAATGGAGCCTCAGAACAGCAGGTGCTGTGTGGAGGAGAGGGAACTAGCTTAGAGGGAAGACCCGGAGGCACAATGCCAGGATTCGACAGCCTGGTGAGCCCCTGGAAGCGAGGGAGGAGACAGAACGGTGAGTAACTTCCCCGTCTCCAGTTCTGGTGATTGGATGGACGGTGGTGTGAGTCAGCTTGGTGGGGAACGCAGCAGGGGCCATGGACTAAAAAGACTTGTAGAAACGGCTGTAGCTACAATAACGAACTGTATTACTTGGTCTTCAAATCAAAGTGCAAGAATGTGTGGGTCTTCATCATCTCTCTTCAAGACTGCTAATTCTCACATGAAAAATCTTCAGTAAGCTTTACAGTCATGTGGCTCATTTAGTTAACAGTGACGACAGAAACGAACCCAAAGTCAGGCTAGGAGTGACCGTGAGTCACACTGTTCTGCAAAACAATCATCTGAACAAGACCCCATTTTACCTCTTCATAGTGCAATGACTAATGTTCATACAGAGAAATTTTGAAACCCGAGGATATTTTCTTCCATTGAAGGAAGGGAGGGAGAGAAACATCAGTGGGAGACACATCGATTGGTTGCCCCATGAACATACCCCAACCGGGGTCTGGGATTGAACGTGCAACCCACGTATGTGCCCTTGACGGGGAAGTGAACCCGAGACCCTTTGGTGTGTGGGCTGATGCTCTAACTGCTGAGCAACATCAGCCAGGGCTTGAAAATTTTTTATAAATATTTGAAGGAAAAGTAAGTTATACTTAATATGTTAATATTAAGTACGTTACATTGCACCCACTTCTTGGCAAAGTGGGGATAATTTGTATGTAACAAAACAGTTAATCTTCAGAATTTCCTGGTTATTTGACAGATCAAAACTTTTATGAGAAACAAAACAGTTGTCATGTAGAGATTTTCCCAACGATACCTAAGAGCATTAATAAGAGATTTAAAATGACAAATTGAGAGGTATAGAAAGGAAAGCTTACTCTATGTTCAGAATGACCGAAGTTTCTTACTCTGTAGGCCCCACTTTTCTCATCTTAAAATCATAATAGGGTTTTGAAGATTAAACAAGTTCACATGTTAAGTATTTAGAAATGCGTGGGTGGACAAACTAAGCACAAATGTTGTTAGCTATTAAATATATTATGGACCTCCATAAATATTATCATTTTAGCTAATTTAAAATAAACCTTTGCTGAATGACTATATGACACAGTGCTAGATGTTAAGAAAATCTCTTAGATATGTTCCTTCCATTTTTCAAGATGGTAGACATCAAATCTTAACCCAAAAGAAAACAGTTCAATGAACCAATGCTTAATCTTGATCAGATAATATTTCACACGGCTGTATTATTTCCCTAATTCAAGTAATGTCCCAATCACTTCAATGCTCAGAGAGATGGGTGGTAATCTGAAGATTCACAGAGTCTGTTTACGAGGCTTATAATAAATATAGAAAGGAATTCAGTATTTAGAGCAAAACTAAGAACATAAATTATGCGTTTTATTCTTTCATTCAATCTTCATAATTTTCTAGCGAATTTCAAAACATGCAGACACAAATTAACAGCATATGCTGAGATGAGAAGTGAAGGTAACTAATCACCCTGAGAAGATGCTTCATGTTCTACTAGACACGAGTTACAGACACTCTGAATATAAAACCAGCCATCACTGTGAGAAATCAGTCCACCAGAAAAACCTTCAATCCTGCCAAAATTAAAAAACAAACAAATAAAATCTAACGGTTCCAATCTGCAACCTCCTAGAGTTTGTTATTTTAAAAAGCATGTTTTTTAGGAGTCTGGAAGCCAGTGTTAACACTTTATCTATTAAAAACCCATCTGTTATGACACATTCACAGAACAGATAAACAGATTTGAAACAGCTCAGCAGTGAAGGCCTCCTGAAAAGATCCAGGCCAGCTTTCCCAGGGTTGAAACCAGGATCCTTCCCAGACCCAGAGCAGCCCTGCGTGTTACGTGTGGCTAATTCTCCATACTCATATTTATTCTTGCTACAAGTACTCATGAAAAAACTCAAAGTTATGTAAGAGTAAAATTCTGGCATCTCACATGACTGACACGAGGCAGAAGTAGAAAATGATATAAAAGACGATAAGGATGAAATGACTCAGAAGTTAACAAGTAAAGCTGCTTCCCTCCCCCATCCTGATTCTTTTAAACTACATTCCAGAAAGGTTTTTCTGTAAACAGTTCTTGGTCATCAATACCATACACCACTTGACTGGGAATCCACTAAGGTCATCAAAGTATTGATACGATTCACATCTTCTGGATTTTTTAATGTGCTCTATCTAGTGTTACAGCTCATCTTACTTTCCTTTTTGATTCTACCCATGACAAGCATTTCCAAAAATTCCAGCAAAAACAAAGTGAGAGAGGCAGCTGACTCTCATAGGAGGCTGGATTCTTGCAGTACTACTCTGCATTAGGAAAAACGGAATTCTATCAGGGTTGAGTCATAGAAAAGAATTCTTTAAGAAGGCCATGGGTTAGTTGGCTTTTATGTAGCATTTTTCTTTAGTACCTAGTCTATTAAAGAAGTAGAAACCTTAAACCTGTCTGGTGCCTGGTAAAAAATAATAGCAGCTAACATACAGTAAAAACTCATGGAATGAATCTATACCCTGCTTTTTTTTTTTTTAATCATGTCTGTGAACTGTCAACGAACAATACTGACTTTTTCCCCCCATTGAATTATACACAACTAGTTATATTAAAAGCAGAATCAAGGATGTAATAAAAAGGTAGTTTCACTATGGGAAATGAGATGAAACTCAGGACAATTTACTCATTCAAAGTCAAGTGCTGCAGAGACGCCTGGGCGGCGCTAGAGATGGGAAACTGCACTAGTTGTGTCTGGTGTGACCACCCCAGGTCTGATCTGAATAGAAAGAAGTTTAGGACGATCTCTGCTCTCAAGGATTTTATTCTTAACTAGGACGATACACACAAGAACTAGAGAACGAGGAAAGCGCCTTAAGCTGCGGTTTCCACAGGACCCCAGTGAATGGAGAAAGGAGCATGGGCCCAAGGCTGCAGAGGCACCTGGTGCCCACAGGCCATGACAAGGCCAGTCTGGGCAGAGCGGTGGGTGTGCGCGCTGTAGCTGGCAACCTTTAATTGCTCAGGCAAAGCGAGAGAATGTAAAACGATGTAGTCAAGTGGAGCCAAACTTCAGTTCTTTCTATTTCTATTTTAAACTGTGTAAATCACACCCTGACCGGTTTGGCTCAGTGGTAAGAACATTGGCCTGCGGACTGAAGGATCCTGGGTTTGATTCTGGCCAAGGGCACGCACCTCAGTTGCAGGCTTGAGCCCCAGCCCCCAGTCAGAACAAGTGCGGGAGGTAATCGATCCATGTGTGTGTGTTTCTCCCCCCCC